TTCCAAATATCAAATAATCCTTTTTAATAAAAATATAAACGTTAGTTTGAAAACACTACATACATTACATTATCTCTTTCTTTTCTTTTCTTCAACTTCTTTTCTTTTCTTACTATTTTAAAATTCTAAATGGATCCTCCTAAACCTTCATCCACTAGTAAAGTGAGGGAGGGTCAGTCAGCAACCATCACCACCACCAATACCACCACCACCACAAGTAGTGGTAGTTTGAGTAAGCAGCCTATGCGTCAGCCTAAGCGGTCCAGGAGTGCCGTTATGTCAGACTCACCGCCTAGGAGGCCAAAGTCTTTGTCTCGCATTTCAGGCCCGTTGGTGCAAGATCCTGGTCAAGGAAAGGCACCAATAGCAGGCAGTAGTGCAGCAAGGCCCAGAATTGCAAGTCTTTTCTATGGCAAAGGGAAACAAGCAGGGCTTTTAAGGGTGAGCACTATGGCTAGTACTATTACTAAAAACACAACTAGTAGTAGGAGTAGCCCAATAAGTAAGAGGAAGCGTGTTTTGCCCCCAGCATCTTCCTATACCACAAGCAGGCCTGTGAGTCGTGCTGCTAAGAAGCTTCCTTCTTGTACAAGGAGGCTGTTTCCTAATCCCCCTCCCAAGACCACCACTTCCACCACCACCAGTGCTGCGCATGCTTCTACCACTGACAGCGGCACATCAGCACAGGAGTTGTTGCCATTGCCAATGCTACCCAGTGCACCTAGTCCTATTATTCCTGGAGGTGATATCAGTCTTACCCCCAGCCTTGCAGGGATTGCATTTAGTCTGGCTGATGAAGAGCTTGACTATGAGCCTGAGAGTGAGGAGGAGATAGTAGAGGAAAGTCAGCATTCTTCAGGGAGCAGTCCAACCTTTTCTCCTGCTACAAGTGCACATTTTTCCCCTTCCTCTCCACTTTCTCCAATAGTAGCACCTGCTAGTGCTACTTCAACCATTAGCAGACCACCACCACCAACACCACAACCTCCTCGCAGTGGCACAGTTACCACCACCAGAGTAACTGTGCCAACAATCATCACCACCACTGGTACTACTAGCCACAGTACCAGTGCCGAGGCTACTGTGCCAGCCACCAGTAGTCACACTCCTCCTGCTGCTCATCAACCTGCACCACTAGCAGCAGAATCCCGAAGGGCAAGCGCCAATGTTTTGCGTCGCAGCAAAGTTTGGGATCACTTTGAAAGTGTTGGAGATGGGCGCTTTGCAAAGTGCAAACTTTGTGGGAAGGAAGTTAGCAGGGGGAAGGTGTTGGGTCATCTCACCAGTGCAGGGATGAACCATCACCTTCGCAGTCATCACAAGGCTGTGTTATTGAGGGAAGAGGCAGAAAGTACTAGGACAGGCAGCATAGCTACTATTACAGTGTCCAGTACCATGGCAGCTAGAAGTGACAGGGGAGTTGTTGCAGAGCCAAGAGCTACTGGTGCTGCCAGCCAACAACCAAGACTGGTTGGAGCATCACAATGCATCCAGCCCACCCTGGAACAATTTGGGGGATTCCACTCCAGGGCTATGTCTAAACAGCAGGCCAATAAAATTACGCAACTTATTGGCCAGTTAATTGCTGTTGGGGGTGCTTCCTTTTCTATGATAGAAGGGGAGCCTTTCAAACAGTTGATGGAGACTGTGGCTCCACAATACCATCTTCCCTCACGCTCCACTTTCAGCAGGAGGATAATCCCTTCACTTTACCGGTCCTGTGTTGGAGTAGTGAAAGGGGAGCTTTCGAAGGCTGCTGGTCAGTCTGTGCATTTTACCACAGATTTGTGGAGTGCACCAAGTGGCCAGCATGCCTTTCTTTCCCTTACAGCACACTGGTGGGAGTCTGGTGTGTCTCAGGAAGCTGCTGCTGCAACTTCAGCAGCAGGGTCTAGCAGAAAGGGAGGAAGTGTATCTGTAGATCAGCTGGGCTATCGCTCTTTCCTTCTCCATGCTGAAGTGATGGATGAAAAACACACTTCAGATAACATTCTACAGGCAGTAAGGAGGATGGTGTCTCTTTGGGTTGGAGCAGAGGCAGGCACCAATGTAGAAGTGGGGTTTGTGGTTACTGATGGAGCTACAAATATGGTGAAAGCTTTGCGTGATGGTAACCTTGTTGGTATGCGCTGTGCAGCGCACATTATCCATCTAGTAGTAAAGTCAGCAATCCCAGAAGGTAATAACAGAGTTTCCAGTGTGATTGAACGGTGCAGGAGGATTGCTGGGCACTTCCACCGCAGTGTGAAGGCTAGCCAACTGTTGAGGCAGGAACAAGAGAAGGCAGGTCTTCCCATACACTGTCTACGACAAGATGTCAGTACACGGTGGAACTCTACTCTGGAGATGCTGGAGAGGATTTTAGAGCAGCAGAGGGCAATCCATAGTCTGGCATCAGACCAATACATCGGTATTGGTTCTCCACTAGGTAGAGACGATTGGACAGTGATCGCTCAGCTAGTGGCAATCCTGAAACCATTCAGGGATGCCACTGAAAATTTAAGCTTGAACACTGCCAGTCTGGGACAGGTAATCCCTGTTTTCACCCATCTAGGGAGCAAGATGGGTGTCTTCCTTGAACGCCAAGAGGTTGTTCAAGGTGATCCTTTACATCCTGATGTAATAACTCTGGTCAGGAGGCTGAAGGATCAGCTTAAAGTTCGCCTACGTGAGCGAATGGATAATTCTCCTGAACTGATGCTAGCTTGCCTGTGTGATCCAAGGATTAAGGGAAAGCTTGCACTCAGATCCAATAACTTAAAAAATTGGAGGGAGAAATTGATCCAGAGGGTGTGTGACTGGCAGCAAAAGAGGGGAATGCTGTCTGAGGGAGTAGTTCAGCAGGAGGCTGAGATGTCGGCTACTTCTAGCAGAAGCAGTGGCACTACCACCACCACCACACAACTGAGTGGAGCAGCTGCATTTTGGGAAGAGTTGCTTGAGGATATAGTTGGACCCACTGAGAGTGCTAGCAGCAGACAGAGTACTGCCTCAGAAATGGTCAGAGCGTACCTCTCTGAACCTCCTTTGCCCCATAATGTCGACCCTCTTAGCTATTGGGATGAGAAGAATAGTGTGTGGCCTGCACTCTCATTGGTTGCGCAGGAGCTGCTATCATGTCCGCCAACCACTGTCCCAAGTGAGCGTGTATTTTCGGTAACCGGTAATATACTGAATCCACAGCGCTCACAAATGTCACCTCATCTCATGGAGCAGATTGCCTTTCTTAAATTCAATCTGCCTAAATTGGGGTACCCTGCTCTACACTTTGACTGTAATTGAGCTTAGGGTTTCTCAACTTTCTTTCTAATTATATAAAGTTGGTGGCGACAAAATAGTTATTTTATTTCTCATTCCTCCTTATTCTTCCATTCTCTCCCCAATCCCCAAATACCTTAAAATCTCTCTTAAAGTGGTACTGGTTTCTCCCCTCTGGCTGTGTCTGACAGCGGTGTGGCAACGCCTGCTACCTCCGCCAGCGCAGTCAGTTAACGCTAGGGTATTGTGTTTGAGCTCTGGAGGTCCGCATCCCACGTCAAGGACTGAAGGAGTTTGGATGCTTTGCCCTGGGGATGAAACAAGTGAGTGGGTCGCCAATTGCCCACTCACTCCTCTTTACCATTTGTGGTTACATTTTTATTTACTATCTCACTTTTTTTTCCTTTTTCTATCTTTTTCACCTTCTTTCTTATGATTCAAATTAAATGTGCGCATGCACATTCGGATCTGACATCGGCAGGGTTTGGAGAGTTCTCCAGCCCAGAGGGAGTCCGGCGCTGGAGAAAGGTAAGTGGCTGAAGGGGTTTAACCCATTCATCCCAACGGGACAGGGGCCCTGAGGGTGGGTGGACCTAATGAGCCTATAGTGGCAGGAAAACGAGTTTGTTTTGCTGGCACTATAGTGCTCCTTTAACTCCTATCAGACAGCCACTAGAGCAGGGGTTCCAGACCCGGTCCTCAAGTACCCCCTACCAGTCCCGGATTTAGGGATTACCCTGTTGTGTCTAAAGTGTTTTTTGTTTTTTCACCCAAAACACCTTAGGCACAATTGAGTAATCCTTCAATCCTGTACTGTTAGGGGGAACATAAGGACTGGGTTGAGAACCACTGCGCTAGAGGGACTTCCTGTGCTCTATCAGAAATCTGTATCTATCAGATTTCTATACCTAGGTCACTTCCGGTGCACCCACGTCACTGTAAGTAAAATAAAAAAATGTCACGTCACCGTAACTAAAATAAAAGGGAACAAATAAATAGGGCTAAATGCACGAACGGCATAAAAAAAAGGGCACTGGTATCCACAAAAATGGGGTTTTGTCACAGTTACTACACACACAGTAAAAGATATATATATATATATATATATGTATATATATATATATATAAAAACTGATATAAAATTATATACCCCAAGGTCTGCTAAAGCACTTGCTGATCTCAGCAGTGCGCATGTCCGCTAGCAGGCCTTGGGGTATAGAATTCTATATATCAGATTTATTTTTATATATCTTTTACTGTGTGTGTGTAGTAAGTAACTGACAAAAAACAGTTTTGTGGATACCAGTGCCCTATTTTTCGAATGCCGTTCGTGCATTTAGCCTTATGTATTCCCTTTTATTTAACCGAATAAACTGCCGAACGGCCAGACCACACGCAATGGGAGTGTGCCGCCTGTTAACCTCCCAGAAGCTGTGGTTAACCGCAACTAATTGACCTAATAGACGAACGGCTGGGTGGTCGCAGTTCGGCTATTTGAACTCACGCACTGTTACTGAGCCAATTGCACGAACGGCCCTGTTCGTGCATTCGAATGGGACTTAATCATTTTTATGCCTGATATTGACCGACCGCACAGCCCAAATCTATGGAACTGTTTTGGGCATGAAAATGTGCTTGCAGTCGGTCATAAAGGGACCTCCAGCTAACTTTGTAACCCCTGGTTGTAATTAGCTGAATTTTGACTATGTTTATAATTAAAGTATGCTGAATAATAATATGTTACTTTTAGGAAGATTGGATGTATATTTTTAAAGTTACATTAACTGTGTAAAAAGTATATTTTTCCTGCCAGTGATAATTACTTTAACCCATTGTGTTCAGTAATTGTATCACAGGCAGAGAGGAGGATTTGTGTGTAATTGCTGGGAGTGTTTTACTATAATTTACGTGTTTTATTGGTCATCTTACAAAACCCTGTGGGCGGTACTATGGGTAGAAAATGGGCATAAAAGCTGAGTGTTTCAATAAAACTTCAGTTCTACTTCACCCTCAATTTGGAGTCCTGTCTCTTATTGGGGGAATCTGCTACAAGGGATTGCTATGTTTGTCATACTCTCTTGCTATACTACTAAGCTCATTTAAGAGCTTGTTCCTGCTTCGCTCTGTCGGAAGAGAGGTTCGGTCTGCGGTGGTTGTGGTATCTGCTGGAGTGCTTGGAGCGCTCAGGAAGCGCTAGGAGCATCGTTCAATGGAGGTACCCAGTCGGGGTGCCAGGCGATCCGTTACAGTAATGCTTTCCTATGGACTGATTTAATGTGCGCGTGGCTCTTGTCGCGCATGCACATTGAGCACTGACGTCAGAAGAGGGAGATTTCCCCAGCACAGAGGGAGCCCGGCGCTGGAAAAAGGTAAGTGATTAACCCCTTCCTCCCCCTTTGGGGGGCCCCTGAGGGTGGGGGGGGGGAACCTAAAGATCCTATTTTGCCAGTTTGTTTTCCTGGCAATTTAGTGATCCTTTAACTCCATGGCAATTCGACTGTGTTCATAGGATCAGAGTGCTGTTCGGATATATTGAGCGCTCAGATCCAAGCTATCTGGGGATATGGTGAATGTGGGAGGTCCAGTTGTGTGAAATTTGAGTTATGTATTTTAATGTGTTTTTTACAGTTAAAAATTGGAAATATTTTCTGTACCTAGAGATGATTAAAGGGACACTATAGTCACCCAGACCACTTCAGCTCAATGAAGTGGTCTGGGTGCCAGGTCCCTCAGGTTTGAACTCTTCAGATGTAAACATAGCAGTTTCAGAGAAACTGATATGTTTACATTAGGGGTTAATCCAGTCTCTAGTACAGGTATAGGCAACCTTCGGCACTGGAGATGTTTTGGACTCTTCAAATGTGCATTCCGCTCCACTCAGGAGCTGACGTCAGACGGGGAGGAGAGGGGTTTAAACCCCTTCAGCGCCACGGGAGGTGGACCCTGAGGGTGTGGGCCCGCACAAACATAGTATACATAGAAGCCGCATTGACCTCTGAGTGGCGAGAAATGCGGGCGCCATCTTGGGGCGGACGATGTTGACAGCAGAGGTAAGAGGAAGGATAGGACTTAGTAAGTGTAGAGCAGGGATAATAGGAATGGTAGGACTCAGTTGGTGCAGAGGAGGGATAATGGGAATGGTAGTACTCAGTTAGTGCAGAGTATGGGATAATGGGAATGGTAGTACTCAGTTAGTGCAGAGTAGGGATAATGGGAATGGCAGTACTACCATTCTCATTATCCATGCACTGACTGAGTACTATCATTCTCATTATCAGTCAGTGCAGGGATGATGAGAATGGTAGTATGTAACGGATCGCCTGGCACCCCGACTGGCCTCCTGCCCTGTGACTACGGCCCCTGGGATGTATTGTCCTTTAAGAACATATTTAGGCATAATAGATTTTTATTGTGCGACTACTGGCCCTTTAAGCACAGTGAATGGACTTTTATTGGACTGTGTATGCCCCTTTAAGAACCATCTGGGGACATATTGTGACTTTTGGGAACAATGCCCCTTTAAGACTTTGTCCCCAGACTGTTAATATATTGTGTTCCTGGCTTTCTCCCACTTGGTTCAGTAAATGGGGCTTACTGAACCAAGTACCACACAGGCGGACCACCCAGAAGTGGAAGTGTGCAGGCAATTTACCTCCCAGGCTGGGAGCCTGCTGTAGGTAAATTGCCGAACGCTGGGGGGCCGCCGTTCGCGCAAACAAAAACGTGTCGGCGGCCATCTTTGTTCATTCTATGCGGTCAGCGGTGTGTGTAGCCAAATTCATGGAACTGAAATCGGCTACACAGTTCCGCGAACACCGCTGAGCCTTACCTTCTCCCACAATGATTTGCAGCCGCAGAGACTAAGTCCCATTCGGCGATGGGACTTATTGCCGAACGCTGGGGGGCCGCCGTTCGCGCAAACAAAAACGTGTCGGCGGCCATCTTTGTTCATTCTATGCGGTCAGCGGTGTGTGTAGCCAAATTCATGGAACTGAAATCGGCTACACAGTTCCGCGAACACCGCTGAGCCTTACCTTCTCCCACAATGATTTTGCAGCCGCAGAGACTAAGTCCCATTCGGCGATGGGACTTAGTCATTTTTTCAGTGTGAAATTTACCGACCGCACAGCCCAAATCTATGGAACTGTTTTGGGCAGGAAAATGTGCTTGCGGTCGGTAAAAAAAGGGACCTCCAGCTAAATTTTTAACCCCTGGATGGAATTGGCTGAATTTTGACTATGTTTATAATTAAAGTATGCTGATTAATAATATGTCATTTTTATGAATATTGAATGTGTAGTTTTAAAGTTATAGTACATGTGTAAAAATGGTGTTTCTCTGCCAGTTATAATTACATTAACCCATTGTGTAAGGAAATTAAGTCACAGGCAGAGGGGAGGATTTTGTCTGTAATTTCTGGGAGTGTATTGTACGTATTGATTGGTTGTTTTACAAAACCCTGTGGGCAGTACTATGTGTGCAAAATGTTCATAAAAGCAGTGTCTCATTAAAATCTTCATTTCTTCTTCACACTCAATTTGAGTCCTGTCTCTTATTGGGGGAATCTGCTACTAGGGATTGCTATGCCCTGCATGTTCCCTTGCTATAATCACTCCTAAACTCTTGTAAGAGCTTGTTCCTGGTTTGCGCTCTGAAGGACTCTACGGTGGTTATGGTGTCAGCTGGAGTGCTGGAAGCCCCAGGAAGCACTAGGTGCATCCTCCAACGAAGGTACCCAGTCAGGGTGCCCGTCGATCCGTAACAACCATAAAACCTGTACATGAGGGATGCTGTTATACTCAGGAGACTTCGCTGAACACCAAAATTAGTGTTTCAAAACAGTAAAACGTATCACAACAATTATCTCGTCCAGGTAAGTGCCATTTGTATGTAAAAAATGTCACTTTCACTGACGATAGCATCGTTGTAATACATTGAAACACTAAAATTTGTGTTCAGTGAAGTAAAACAGTACCCCACATGTACAGGTTGTATGGTGTCATAGAAAGTTACAGGGTTATATACAGTGCTAGCAAATTAAATTCCTTGGACTTTTGGCCTGGGTTGTCAGTCAGGTCCTGCAAATTGTAATTAATAAAATGACCTAATTATTTAAAACTATTACATAAATATATACATAGAATTATTATATATATATATATACACATGTTTGTATATATATATATATATATATATATATATATATATATATATATATATATAATCCGACACTCACCATCATTAAAAAATATAACTTGTAATACCTGGGTGCTTCCAGTGCCAAACATAAAGCAAATAGTGAATTGAGCACTCCTTAGGAAATTTTCAATCATGTATTTAATAAGTAATCAAGATTACTAAAATACACAATTGAAAATTTCCTAAGGAGTGCTCTGTTCACTATTTGCTTTATGTGTATATATATTTTTTGTAATTATTTTTATTTATATATAGTGATATTTTTTCAAGTGTGTGTGTGTGTATGTATGTATATATATATATAAAAATTATTAAAGAAAAGAGGAGTCAGAAGTTGTAATCCAATATTTTTTTTTATTTAGAAAAGCAAGTGGGAGAAGCAACAAAGCAGAGGCAGCCCAGGTTGTTAGGAGCAGTCCTGGGAGGATATAGTGCAGAGGAGAATACCCAATGTATATTCAGGGGAAGGATAGGGAAAACCAGGAGGAAATTGAGAATGTAACAACCTACGATGAACAGCGTCAGTTGTGTTCACATTGTGGATGATAATGAGAAATAAACATCTGAGTGCATTCTTCCCACAGATATCTATTCATCATCATCATCCCTTCTGGGAAGACCCTGCGCACGTCTTTCACGAACTAGGCTATCTACATCAGCGATGGTTATGCCCAAATTATGGGCAGCTTGCGCGCGCATTAAAATGCACTCTTCCTCCCTCATTTCCATAAAGCGCTGCATATTTTGCTGCAAGGAAACCATTGCTGATGTAAATTGCCTAACGCCCTCATTCAAAATATTCGACATGGAGCGTACCTCGGTTATTACATTCTGCAATAGTTCTCGCTGATTCTCCCTATCCTGCTGTATGGACGTCTCCAGTTCATCTTGACGAGCCTGGATCGTCGCATACAGCGCAGCCAATGGTGGAGGAAGTTGTGGCATTTCTTCGGCCACTGATGTCTCTGACTCAGGATCCACTGCTGTTAGGGTAATGGTACCCTCCTCTTGCAGGGGGAGAGTACCATCAGAACCTATAGGGGAGAACAGAGAAAGAACATTGTTAGCATGTGTCATATGTTGCAATGCTTACTATTATCTGTAAAACAATATTATTTAAACTTGGAAATAAGATATATGCAGTCATGCTATTAATTTATTATTATGTCTAAGTATAGTTATGCATCTTTGTCGCCCCTAGCCCTTTCTCTGTCTGTTTGCATGTCTTTGTGCCCACCTCCCTTTCCTTCTAATCTCACTACATGTATCGTGGACGAGCGTCCCCAGGTAGAGAATCTCCTGTTTCTTCTGCATGACAGGAAGCTGATCGTTGCACTCAGCTTCCTGTCAGGCCAAGAAGATGGTAGATAAGATCACACGTGGTCCACTCAGCCACAGTACATAAAGTGAACAGAAGGAGAGGAGCAATGTGAGCTCCCCCCCACCCCTGCTGGTCACCCAGACATTTAGCCCCCTGGCCAGCACATGCTAGGCAGATGCTTAGTATGCTTAGCGGTCGACCCGGCCCCGCCTGTTACATAAACTAGTATGCCTGCAAAGAAAATGTGTACAGTTAAAGCATTTTTTACTTACGCTCAGCAGTGGATCCCTGTTCCTGGACACCAGTGGCCGGCTGTTGGAGGGAAACCACACTCGTACGTGGTGAAGAAACGTCGACAAGTTGCGGATGGCCTGAAATACATGTATGTGATAAATTAACTTCATATACAGTAAAATCACATACGTGTGTGTATGTTTAAATGCGCACGCACACACACACATAACATTTATCTAACAATGCTATGCAAGTACTTACGAGAGGAAAGTGAAGCCAGGCGCATTTCCAGGGAGACAGGAGGTGAACCTGCTGCCCCGCTCTCCGTGGAGACAGCATCTCCTGCAGTTCCTGGTGCCTCTTCTGGGGATTGAGGGGCTTGCACTGATGGCATAGAAAACACACATTGGAAGGTTAACACAAGCAAACTGATATATGTACATTTCGACTAACAAATATGAATTTAAAGGACCACTCAATGAAGTGGTCTAGGTGCCAGGTCCCTCTAGTTTAAAGCCTGCAGCTGAAAACATAGCAGTTCTAGATAAACTGCTGTTTCACTGAGGGTTAATCCAGCCTCTAGTGGCTGTCTCACTGACAGCCACTAGAGGCGCTTCCGCGATTCTCACTGTGAAAATCACAGTGAGAAGATGCTGGACGTCCATAGGAAAGCATTGAGTAATGCTTTCCTATGGGTGGTTTGAATGCGTGCACGGCTCTTGCTGCGCATTCGGAGCTGACGTCGGCAGAGGGAGGAGTGTTCCCCAGCGCCGAGGGAGCCCTGCGCTGGAGAAATGTAAGTGGCTGAAGGGGTTGGAGAAAGGTAAGTGGCTGAAGTGGGAAGGGGGCCACGAGGGTGGGGAGGGACCTAATTACCCTACAGTGCCTGGAAAACGAGTTTGTTTTCCTGGCACTATAGTGGTCCTTTAACATCGTACCTTCAGATGTTTCAGTGCCAGGTGTCCCCTCAATCCCAAGGAGGTTTTCTCTTCCCAGGAACTGCAGGAGCTCCTCTTCATAGGGCAGCAGGTCCGGTTCTTGTGAACCGCCTCCTGTCTTCCTGGAGGCGGCTGCTGCCTTCACCTTCCTCTTCACCATCCGCCTGATGTCGTAGTAACTGCAATGACATGATGACATGTGTAATTGATTAATTACTTTAATATGTTTCTATATATATATGTTTACTGACATGTTTAAAGGGATACTATAGGCACCCAGACCAAGCATTGGATTTGCTGATCTTTTCAATTATGAAGATCGCAGCCAAGGAGGCAGAGCACAGCTCTGCTATAAGGATGAGTAATTAAAGGGACACTCCAAGCACCCAGACCACTTCTGGGTGCCAACTCCCACTACCCTTAACCCTGCAACTGTAAATAAATATTGCAGTTTTCATAAACTGCAATATTTACCTTGCAGGGTTAACTCCTCCTCTAGTGGCGTCGCTGAAACCCCCATAGGAAAGCATTTTTCAATGCTTTCCTATGGGGAGGTCTAATGTGCATGTGCAGCATTGCAGCGCATGCGCATTAGGTCTCACCCCGCCGGCGGCAGCGCATGCGCAATTGGTCTCCCCCTGGGATGAGGGGTGGGACACGGTTTGTTCTCCTGGCACTGGAGTGTCCCTTTAATTACAGTTACATTGCTGAGAGGGAGGTTAAACTGTGTTTTCACAGTTATAGTGACAGGAATGCAAACATGTATTCCTATCACTATAGTGTTCCTTTAAAGCACATGGTGTTTTTTCCCTCTATGTGCTTAAGTGACCCAACCCTCACTTTTAAAAGACTTTAAAAGCATAGCTGCCACTAGTGGGTGTGTGTAGCAAAAGCACATGGAGGAAAAAAAAAGTTTTAATAAAACATGGCATAAAGAAAATTATTTTTTAGGAATATAAGTGCACTTACCGTTTCTTCACCACGTCCTCGGTGCGGTTGTTCCCTCCAACAGCATTCACCGCTGCCACAATCTTCCTCCACCGATTTTCCTTCTGTGCTCTGGAACTCTTTTTGGCTGCTCCCCCAAATATACATTGGTAGTACTGGCAAAGCTTGTTTACCAGTACTGTATTCTCCTCTGCACGAAAGCTATCTGCATATTTATTCTTCCTCCCAGGATCTGCTCTTTTTAAGATCCTGGGCTGCCTCTGCTTCTGCTTGCTTCTCCCACTTGCTTCTCCTATCTCCTGGCCAGAGTGGCCAATGCCCCCCTCCACTACATCCATGACTTCTATCTCACTTGAGGAGCTGGAGGAGGACATGGCCACTTCTGGCAAGCTCAGTGTTCAAGTGCCTAAAATGGCTGACAGGGTGGTGGGCTGGCTGAGCTCCAAAATGGCTGAATGGCTGGCCTATAGAAAATCTGGATAGATTTTGCATTGAAGGACTGCCTTGAGTTGATACTTTTTTTTTCTACAGTTTTGACTGGCAGTATGTAAAAGCCTATTTAATTGGCTACTACTTCTTTCCCACTCCCTTATAAAATGATACTGTGTTGCCAGTACCACCTGTCAGGGAAGCATGATGATTCATGAGCCCAAGAAACTAAGCAAAAGCAATGCATTGCATTTGCAATGTCATTCGACATGCGAATGACTATTGTAAGTGGTGTTCGGTAGTTTACTAATAGTGCCAATACATTTTCATGCGAACGGCAGTGTTCGTGCATTTGACGGTTCGGGAATTTGTTCGGGAGTTTTAGGCGTAAATAGATTAGAACATTGTTCAATGCCATGTGTTGGGAGATCAATGTACGAAAATGTAAACGAATGAATGGTTTTACTGCGTTCACTTGAGGCTATTCGCTATTTAGGGATTAGGGAACTGACTTTTATGATTGCATTGTATTTGCAATACCATTCGACATACGAATGACTATAGTGAATGGTGTTCGGTAATTTACTAATAGCGCCAATACATTTTCATGCGAATGCCAGCGTTCGTGCATTTGACGGTTCGGGAGTTTTAAGCGTAATACAATTCAATCAATGCCATGTTGTTAGCAATGTACAACATTTGAAACGAATGGTTTTACTGAGTTCGGTTGAAGCTATTCGGTATTTAGGGATTAGGGAACATAGTTTTATGTATTCAATTCATTTGGCTCAATTAAATCGCGCCGAATGAACGAACAAGTTTAGCCGAAACGAAAATACTACCGAATATCGTACGAAAACGAATGAAAGAATTGACGAAATTCGGTTCTGACTAAAGTATTTTTTTTTTCGGACGAATACATTCGTACGAAACGAAAATTTCTGAAATGCCCAAGTACTTTTTTTTTTAGTACTAATCCATCAATTGCAAACTTTTTAGGGGAGTCCTACGAATAAGTCACATTGCTGCTTTCAGATAGAATGCAATGCCCGAATGAGAAAAGTACATTTTCTTTTGAACCGCTACAAACTAATTATCTTGGAAAAGGGAACACAGGGAGGACATCTTACAACATATGTCACGGATGTAAAAATATTGTGTCTAAAATTGTTGCAAACACTTTGCTATCACCAATGTAAACCCAGATGAAGACTACGTTGTTGACCTAGCAAGCCGGTCATGAGGATTACAGCTCTTACCTTATTTATTAACAAGCCAAAGCTATGTTTTTTCCTTTGACATTTATCAATAGCAGAAGGCAGTTTTATACATTTCACATCATTTTCCAAATAACTTATATTCAGAGAAACCACACATTGACATGAATTAAAAACATCAGAAACTCTTAAAAACTGTCAATCTTGTGATAATTGACCCTTGCGTGTCAGCAGAATATTTGAGAGTCCTCCTCAGTGACAAAGTAAATAGGTCGAGTAACATCTGGTCCCAACTTAAAAGTTAACTGTTCCAAAAATCTTTGCCACATATTCAAGAATGTCCACATTTGCCTTTAAGTTCACACATTCCAGCCACTAGATCAGTGAATATTTTGATCTCCAAACATCCATGACTTGGCAGTATGTCCTCCTGAATAAATTAAAACAAACATGGGCCAAAATAAATTAGACATCAGCAGAATGCCTAAATATGGATGTATTATTGAGATATCCCAGAGCTACAGATGTTATTTTTCATATTTTGAATACGTGAATTGAAACAATCTAGTATTGAAACACATACTCCATTTTTGTCTCAATTCCAATTTATACATGGATTCCTTTGAGTATGTGTTTGCTGTATATTATATGTATATTATTGTTGGTTCTTTGCATATGCCTACCAAGAATCCCTTGCAGTAGTGAGAGCACTGTTAAAGTGAGATTTCTGTGGGAAAAGCAAGTCTTATGGCTTGACTGGTGTGTGTATTTGGTTTAGCAATGTATTAACTGTCCACTTACTTCAGGTGGAAGGGGTTTTCATCCACACTTTTTTCTCCACCACTACTCTTTTGGTATGCGTGTACACACACTCACTCTCTCTCTTTCCTGTTTCCCTGTGCCCTCTCATGGTTCTTGTCACTCAAGAGTGCTTACTCTATCTATATATCTATCTGTGTGTTTTTGGTATTTAACTAAACAAATATGAGTAAAAGTTGAGGAAATCTCCTATGCAATCGTCTAAAACTCCATGCTGTAGTAAAAGCTAAGGAGATAAACACATAAGGCTTATCAGAGGCTTCGGAAATTATACAATATTAGCACTACTGGATGGATGTTGCTACTGGTGGAGGAATGCTTGGATATACATAAAAAGGGTGATGCTCCTCAACGTGATCATTCAGCTATGCATCCTCACCCATCTACATTCATTTGAGGCAACCTTCATCAGCCATCATCCCCAGCAATTAAACATACCTTCCAAAAAGATGTTCATAATGCTAGCAGACTCCATCTATCTAAATCTTGCTGCTGTTGCTGATTTCTCTACTGCACCTTGAAGCCTCCTTTCTTGTCAGGCTCTTGTGAATGCACAATAATTTTGAGCAGAAACCAAGCAAACCACATGTAGCGATTATCCAAATAACTGAAGTGTAAAGTGTGAAAAAAAATACAAGTAAAATTTCAAGTTTACCATTTAATGTGAATTGTGAGTAAACTACAGAAGTATTTACTTCAATATGCAAATCACAAGCAGAGTAGGTGAATCACCCGCAAACAATTCTGAAACCTAATACAATATTCTAATACAACATGGAAGTTGTTCACTTTTTACTACAGGGTGTAAATTGGAATGCAACTGTTTGTATTTTAGTGATGGTTGTTTATTTTACATTACTGCTTATATTACTTCAATGTTTATATTGTAAAGATGTTATCTAACACAAAAATTGTAAATTTACATTTAAACTAGTAACTAAATCTACTGGGACAATTCCCTATACTGCTTAATCTGTTCAAACAGGAAATCAGACTTTCTACGTTTGATTTCAGATTCCAAACATCTTTAGAATACGTACCCCTAGAACAAGTGGAACACAGCTATAAGGTAGCTGTTTAATATTAGTAAGTTCTTCTTAGACAAGTGTAGTGCAAATTCCTTATATAATGCCTTCAATTAAGCAGATTTTCCGCCAGTGACTTGGACATATATTTGCATATGTGTTTAATATGATCAAAACAAATCCTGTGATTTATTAATCATTTTTTTCATTTAATATTTTTGTCAATCTTTGTTTTATTGAGGAAAGTTTACAAGCTTATTAGTTTCAGATGGTGTGTTGCAGGGCCGGACTGGGAAAAAAATTAGGCAACGGCATTTTTCAATTAGAGCGGCCCCCCAAGAAGGGGGCGCGGCCAGAGAGGGTGTTTTTTGTCATCACTAATGACAAGTACGCCCCTTCTGAAAGTGAGCATGTTGGTTCAATGCGCAGAGCCCCGCTGAAGAGCTCTAGCATTAGAAAAAGGCCCTGAATTTGTTCTGCGCAGCGCAAGCAAATGTAATAACATGCTTGCGCTGTGTTTGTTTTTAAATTGTCTTTGGTGTCTCCACAAGTGGGATACCAGAGGACAAAAGGGCCAGGAAAGTGTATGGTGCATGTGTTTGGCGGATGCTTGTGGGATTGCCTGTGTGTAGAGTGTGGTGTGGTATTGTGTAAATAGGTCAATTTTGTGGTGTAATATGTGTGGCTAGGGGCTGTAGAGAATGCGTGTATAGGGGCATATTGTTATAGGGGATGTAGCGAGTTTGTGCATACGGGCAGTAGTGTGTGTGTATAGGTGATGTAGTGTGTGTAGGGGTTGTAGAGAGGGTGTGTTTAGAGAATGTTGTATGTGTTTGCTTACAAGGAATGTAGTGTGTGTGTAGGTGGTGCAGTGTGTGTGTGTAAGAGATCTAGTGTGTAAAGCACCCAGAGTGTGTATAGAAGAGTGTGTGTGTGTGTGTGTGTGTGTGTAGAAGATTACGAGTGCATATAGGGTAAGGGATCTAGCGTGTATCTGGAGAGTAATGTGTGTAGTGGTGCAGTGTGAGGGGTGCTGTAGTGTGTGTGTGTGTGTGTGTATATATATATATTTATATATATATAATATTTGGACGTATTGTATGTGTGAGGTGTGCAGTGTGTTTGTGTAAGAGGGGTGCTGTGTGTGAGGGTGTTTTTATCTGCCGTCACATTCTAGGTTTCTAATTTTCTTTGTCTGTTAACTGAGGGTTATTTTATATATATATATATATATATATATATATATATATATGTGCATATGTGTGGGAGTGAGGGTGCTGTGTGTCTGGGGGTGCTGTGTTTGTCTGTGTGTGTCTGGAGGTGCTGCGTGTGTCTGGGGGTGCTGTGTGTGTCTGAATAAAAGTTATGTCCCCCCCCTCCATCTCCCTCCATTCTTACCTTTAGCCCAGGAGGGGGGGTAGCCATTCTGCCTTGAGGGGGGACCATGCTGCATTCCCTGGTGGTCCTAGTGGTGAGAGTTAACTCTAGCCTGCAGGCTAGAGTTCACTCTCGCGAGAGCTGAGCATTGCCGTGGTAACCGCGGCAACGCTCAGAATCCCGTGAGAGGACCCGGCGGAGCTGCTTGTTAGAGCTCTGCCGGGTCCTCTCTCTTGCCTCCCTCCCCAGCCTGCAGCCGCATCTCCCTGCCTCTGGGCTGGTGAGGGAGATCTTTGATCTCCCCACCGGCCCATGGAGGCACATAGCAGGGCTGGCGC